GGGTCCGTAGGGGGTGTGTTTTAGTGAAAGGGAAAAAACATGGGGTCCGTGGAGTACTAGTTTTTTTTGGGTCAGTTGTTATACAAAGGGGGGAGGGTTTTTGAGATTCTTTCATTTTCATGGAGAACTGTTTCGTTGGAAACATGTTAGGATTATTAAATATTAAATGTTGGAACTTCAAATTTTATTTGTCCCTCCCCCCTTGATGCGTGATAGGTGGGCCCAGTCCCTAGTTTGCTAAATAAGGGGGGGGGGTAGTGCATGCCCCAATAACCTCCCCTCAACTTGTATACACCCCTGTTTAACATGGTATTTAATATTTACACTTAAAAAGTACAAATTCTAAGAAAAGAAAATTCAAAGAACACTAAGCATTATCTGTAAATCATCATTTTTGTTCCGGGGCCCATATTTTGATGTTTTCAGGCTGAATGTTGTGGGGCCCCTTGTTAAGAAGTTGAATGTTTAGTCGCGGTGTAAGATTGTATAAATTGGGCAGTTTCTCTGTGGGACACAACCGTTCACCTCCCTCCCTCATCATGCCAGCATTAGACAGGTTACTCATGCCTGATAAAAATATCATCTTACCCCCTTCCGAAAGGAACAAAGTTTGAAATATTAAAGGTCGTGTTGTAAAGATATTTAAGTTAAAAAAATTGAATTTATGGCGAATTATCACTTTCATAATGTCATTAGCATCGATTTTAATACCTAATTATACTGATTTCTCTCTTAATTTTACTGTTTACATTTGATTAGCACTGTAAATACCCTTCAGGTACCATATATCTTGTTCTTTAAATATCCTATTTTTATCTTTAGTTATCATTACTTTATCTTTAGACAGCTTTTATTTATCTTAAAAAACATCCTTTCTTCATCTTTGAATACCCTTTATTCATCTTTAAATACCCATTATCTATCTTTAAATTTCCTTTCTTTCATCTTTAAATACCTCAGATTTGAAATATCTTATTTCATGTTTGCACTAGTAATGAGTTACCCCCTCCTACACAAATAATTCATCTAGAGTTTTGCATAGCATTGATCCAGCCCATTAAAGTACATAGCATGTATTGATCGCACCATTTCTTTAGAAAATCTTTTTTTATCAAATCATGTTACATTAAAAGTTTTAAATGATAAGAAAAATAATGTGAACTTACTTGGAGAACTCATAGATTGGGTCATATTTATGTAAATTGACCACGAAGAAAAACTTACAAATTTTTAAATTCTAGAAACTGCGCAAACTGCGGTGTATCCCCTAAACGTCGTCTGTCTACGATTCAAAGGTAATGTTCACAACTAGAATCATATAACCGTAGTGTTAACTGACCCTCCATTTTAAAGAGTGGCATGACTGATTCACAAGGGTTCCAATGAAACCTTTATCTTATCAATAATGTGAAAGACAATTTCTGTTTTTAAGTGTTTAATTTTTTATATTTTCTCCATTGTTTCTGAACCAAAATATGCGCAAGTCACATATGCAGAGAAAAATTATTGCACGAGTTTTGAAAAGAAAAACCGGATTCAATCTTGTATCAGATTTCTTGTTATGATGAATATAAATAATTTTATCATACACATCTACAATTTCTTAACAAATATATGCAACATTATTTGCTGATAATGCAATTTTATAGTTTTGTTTTAATATTTGGTCAATTGGTTCAATTTACACATCAGCAGTTTATTTTAAAACTTATTTTCAGGGGTAACATTTTTGTTTTAAAAACCTACTCTTCTGAAGCTAAAAAAGTTTTACATTATGTTGTGTTTTTATTGCGAAAACATGAACTCAGGCCATGGCTCATGGCCTTCTTTCCAGTGCGGATCCGGATCCGCATCTAAATTAAATGAAGCCGTAGCACTGATGACAATCTAGCACTCATTTTATTCAACGATGTTAAGATTTTGTTTTTTTTTCCCTTAAATATCGTGTTAAATTGGTGATCTTGCTGATTTGGCAAAGAAAGAAACAATTAAACAGTTGTATAGAGCCACCAATGTAAGAAAAAAACCGAAATCATTTATACTTCTTCCTAACTCGCCAAAAAAAATTTCAAGAATGAAGATACCCCTGAAAGTACTTGTTAAATATAAAAGATTCAATTCAGATCCAATTGTTATTCTCCGTGATGGTTCTCTAACGATCTCCACAAATATGTAAAAAACAAGTTGTTTTCTAGAGGTCCTGTTATGATAGGGGTGGCAGGAGGAACTGCCTCTGGGAAATCTACTGTCTGCAAGTAAGTCCCCCCCCCCCCTCCTGTTGAATGTGTTTTAATTTGATTTTATTAGTTCCCCTTATTTTTTTTACGTACAGTAATGTATTGTTATTGTCGCAATTAAAGGGAGTGACCGACTATGTAAGGTAGTTGAACTGAGTATGCAGTGTTGTGGACAAACTTCTTTCGGATTCATTTGAGACATATTAAACTTTTTGAAGATCTGTAAATCCTGAGAAATATGTTACAAACCATCTAATTACATTACTGCATAATTTTTCTTAATTTTCGTAGTCGTTATTTAATAATTTTAAAAAACTAATTCTGAAAACGTAGTCAGCCCCTAAGTAGGAGTTTTGAACGTCGAATTTGCGCTCAAACTCAGGATTTACAGATCTTTAAGAAGTTTAATATGTCTCAAATGAATCCGAAAGAAGTTTGTCCACAACACTGCTACTTTAGAATGGGATATCCTTAATCCCGATCTGGTGACTTATCTGGAGATTAAATTCATGAGGACAACAAGCCATATTTAATCTGAATATTAAGAAAAAGAGTGGATGAAGCATTAATCCTGATATCCACCATTCTAAAGTTTTCAGCTCTGATCAAAGAACTGAAATAATTACTGATTGCTACCAAGCTTACTTCTTCTGGGAAAAAAATATTTAAATCGTTTTTTACTTGGAAGTGGAGGAATCGAGTATTTTAGCTTCAGATTTAAAATGATAGGTATTTTTTAATTTCTATAGGAATAACCTTTAAAATATGTATCATGATAAATTAATACTATACAATGTTGCCCATTTCCGGAGATTTAAAAATCCAGAACTATTTATGCCCCCCTCCCCTTGCCTGCTCTCTCTTTAGGTAGTTCAATTTATAAAACCTAAAAGAAGTTATGTTAAAAACATGTTTAGGTTGTTTCACTGTCCCAGGACTCTTTCTACCGAGAACTTAATGCCGAGGTATTCATTTCTACATTTTTTCTTTGCTTAAACTTTACAGATTTAAATTAAATTTGCATTTTGCATACTCTCATTTAGTTCGTGAACTTGTACAAAAAATACTGAATGTAAAACACAATGGATTTTTATTGCTGTGTTTTAAAGGGACTGAATAGGCTGAAGCCTGAGAATCTCAGGAGTTCAACGATACCTATAAGACATCTATCTGATGTTACTGTCTCAAGAAATTTATATAAAACTGTGTCAAATTAATACAAAAATTTATATATTTTGTATAAAAAAAGTTGTTGTATTAAACAGATCATATTCAACAAATACGCAACCAATCTAAAAACGACGATATCGCACAGGAGCCTGAGTATACTGGTCACGTGATTTCCGTCTGCATCACATGACAACGATACTGCACTGCCATTGGCTGAAGTTCTAGTGACGTAATACGGACTATATGTAATTATATTATCAATTATATCTATTAAAAATGCAAAATAAAAATAAAAAAATGTAATAGGAGCAAACCTGAGGTTCTCAGGCTCCTGTGGGATATCGTGGTTTTCAGATTAGTTGCGTATTTGTTGAATATGATCTGTTTAATACTACAACTTATATATAAAAATTGCATATATATGAATTTTTGTATAAATTTGACACAGTTTTATATCAATTTCTCGAGACAGGAACATCAGATAGATGTTTTATATGTACCACTTAACGCCTGAGATTCTCAGGTTTTATCCTATACCCTCTTTTATTTTTCCTTTACAGTCCCTTTAACCCTGTCCTCTAACAGGATTCTTTCGACTATACCTCACAGTACATAACCCCCCCCCCCTTGTCTACACTACCCGAGGCCATATATAAATAGGGGAAATCTTCTGTTTCTTATGGGACCTACAAAAAATAAATCTTTAGTACTTTTTTTTGGGGGGAGGGGGGATAGGCGAATATATCAATACAATGAAAACATGTTTTTTTTTTAATTTTTAATTTTTTCATACTTTTTTTGAATCACAAGTTTACAAGTAATCAAAGAGACGCCATTTTTAATCGACAGCTTCTCTTTGTTTTCATGTTAAACATTTTATGTGTAACCAATATCCATGCTGTTTAAAATAAATTCAAAATTGAATTCGAAAGTCGTCTTCATTGTATTGAGATATATGTGATCAATTTTATATTTTTAAGGAAAGCATCCTGGCGTCCAAAGGGAAGTTTAACTTCGACCATCCCGACGCATTTGACAACGAGCTGATGGAGCAGTGCCTGAAGGACATCATTGGTGGACGACCAACAAAGGTCAATAAATTAAATATTGGATATTTACGATTTCAATATTGAAAACTGATAATTTTCAATTGCGCATTTCTACATATCAGAATTAAACACTTAAAAGTTTCAAGGGTACCGTTGTAAATCGGTCATTGCCATCTTTGCATGGAGGTCCTTTAATATTATGTTTTCAGTCCCTTTTCACTATTTTTTTTTGGCTAGCTTCAGGGTGGCCAAAATGTACGGATTGTACGGATTGTTTTTTTTAAACCCTAAAATTGTACGGATTGTACGGATTTTTATCCTGGAAATACACCGTTTTTTTAAATTTTCACTCATTTCAGCAAATTTTTCATGAAAATTAAAAAAAAAATTCTCGTCAAAATGAAGTTAGTTTAACTTATTTTCTGCATTCTAAATAATATTAGATTGATTAATGTTTCAATTGACAATCAAAATTCATTCATAATTTTCGAGATATGTCCAAGAAGTGTTTATTTGAGAATATGTTCCATAAGTACTTATTTGATTGCTTATTCAAGAAGATGTTCCAGTATCCTGTACCCAGTATCCTGTACCCAGTATCCT